CGTCATGTAGGCGCCGTACTTGGCGCACGCCACGAGCTCATAGGTTCTGCCACCTTCTCCAGTGCAGGCGTAGGAGACGGCGTGCCCCATGATGCTGAAGGCCACAGCGCTGGCCGAGAGGGCTGCTGAGCTGCTGCCAGCCGAACAGGCCCTCTCCAGGCGCGGCCGCTTGGCCCTCGGCGCGGTGCTAGCCGCCTCCTCTGCCGCCTGCGATGCCTCGGCAGCGGCGAAGCGAAACTGGCGCCGCTCAGCCGTAGGAGGGAGCCCTTCGCAATCCTTGGCCTCGATGTTATGCCAGATGATGGCTGCCCGCCAGATCCAGCGCCCGAGCTCCAGCACGAACTCAGCCAGCGCGTGGTGCTCGCCAGCCGACTGCCCGTCCACTGCATGCACGTGGGCCCCCATCTTGGTAGGGCGATCCGCATGCTCGATGCCGCGCCGCTGGGCTTCCGTCAGGAGCCCATCGGGTACTGCCTGCCTCGCACAGTGGGCTGGCACCTTCTTCACCTCGAAGGTTCTTGGCTCGAGGCACGCCAGGATCTTGCCCCACAGATGGGCAGCGGCCCTGTTGGGCGCCGTGGCGTATGCACGTCCTCTGCGCAGGCAGGTCGCGATGGGGCTGCAGTCGACGCGGACCTCCTCCACCGCTGGCCCTGCGAAGGTGGCGAGCATACATACTGCGAAGCCCTCGCTACCCTTGGCCGTCCGCTGCGGGCTGAGATTTCGCCACGTCGCGCTAGGCGGCGGCGTGCCCTGTGGCCCTCCAGGGTGCCGACTGCGGGCGCAGCCCGCGCGCACGGCGCACGGCTCCAGGGGCTCGCACTCGGTCCTTAAGCACTCCTCGCCCCGCGGAGGCAGCGCCCATGTAGGGGTTCCTGGCTTGCAAGGTCTCACAGACGAGATCCCAGCCCTGCGTTCCCCAGTGCTCGCCTGGTAGAGCACGCGCATACCTCGAAGTACCCACAGGTCGAAGCCATGCTCGACTCCGCACCGCCACAGGAAGGCGCGCCGCTGATGCTCGTAGAAACTGGTGATGCCCAGGCCGAGGCTGGCGGTGGCAAACCCCCTCACACGCCCAAAGGCGGCAACGGCTGCACGGGCGCTGCGCCGCCGACCTGCCTTGTCGAACTTGCGGTCCATATTGCCCCTGAAGAAGCGGTGATCGTGCTCCGCCTCCCACAGCGCGTCGACGGGCTGTCGCGGGCTGCCCCAGATGCGCATGGGCAGAGGGCCATTCACGATTGGTCGGACTCCTCCGTCCGCATGGGGAATGAAGACCGGCATGGCAGCCTGGGCGCCCAGGGGCTGGGGCCACGCTCCTCCTCGGCGCCGCCACTCGCGCACGGGCGCTGCCTCGCCGCACTGGCCCCGCTAGGCGCGCGCCTGCCCTGGCTGCACTCCCCCATCGCTGCTCCCAGCTGCGTGGCCAGCAGGGCGAGCAGCCAGAGGGGCCAGGTCCGCTGCCTCAGCGACCAGCTCTCTCTTGCATGCCTGGGACACCTGCGGCCACTCCCCGCACGCGCTGCCGCGCCGCTCGGCTTGGCCACGCTCCGCTGCGGCCTGAGGCGGCCGAGGCACGTCGCCGCCTGCGAGCTCTCCATCGTCGCTGCTGATCTCGTCCATGGGGCAGGCCTCGGCCCAGGGCGCTCGCTCGGGTGCTGGCGGGGGCACCGCGAGCTGCGCCCGCGCCGCCTCCACCTGGGCACGTACGGCCGCCCAGGCCACCTCGAAGTTGCTGGAGCCCCAGGCTTCTGGCAGCTTGTCCAGCTGCGTGAGGAGCCCTGGAACATGGCTGGCTCCAGCCCACTTCGGGGGCTGCTTCCTCGAGGACCTGGAGCGCCCTGCTGGCCTCCCCCACCTCGCCGTCGAGCGCCGCCAGCTCGTCCTGGGCCTTCTGCAGCTGGACCTCCGCGAGGTCCCGCGCCGCCTGCTTTTGCTCGAGGGCCTGGCGGGCTGAGCGGAGCCGCTTCTCTTCCTTGCTGATGGCGTTCGCCTCCTTGTGCAGCAGAGCCGACCGCGGCATCGCGGAGGCCTTCTGCTCCGCTGCCTCCTTCTGGGCGATGGCCAACTCTGCCCTCTTCGCCTCCAGCTGGTTGGCCACGACGTCCGTGAAGCAGCTGTCGACGCCGTCTGGCGGTCCAGCCTGCAGCGCCTCGAGCCGCTCGACCGTTGCCCGCAGCCTCTCGATCGCCGTGGCGCTTCCGTTGCTGGGCGCCCCACTCGCTGCTGAGGCCGAAGTCTGCGACTTGGTGGATGCCGTGCGCGACGCTGCGCTTCGGGCCTGCCGCTGGGCTCGACGCCCCCGAAGCTGGTCCACCCAGCCGTCCTTGCCAGCCTCGGGTTTCGCCTTGCCGCGGGGTGCCTCTGTCGCCCAGGGCGGTGCGGCATACCCACAGCTGAGGCACGTGGGGCGCCAGTCCCAATTCCAACAACCGCACCTGCACATCCAATAGGCCCTGCTGCGCCCGCCACTGCTGCCGCCACGCTGGGACCTCGCCATGGCGCCAGCCGCGCTGCCCGCTGGGCAACGTCCCCACGCTGCGAGAGCAAGAGGCACAACAAGAATATGCATTGGCCCAAAGCGCGGAGACCCTCGCGCTCAGAGCGCCGCGAACGACTCGCGGTCGTCGGGTTCTCCATGGCCTTGAGCCAAAATGGCTATGGATGTGTTCCTGTGTGTTCCACCATGTTCCTGTGTGTTCTGCCATGCTTCCGTATGTTCTTTGTAATCTGCCGTGCTCGTGTTTGTTCTGCCGTCCTCGGACCATCGAGGCTCCTCTTGGAGCGCTCTTGTGCTGTCTTGGGTCTCTCTTGCGCCTCTCCGATGGCCCCTCTGATCGCTTTGAATCTGCTCGCAAGGCACAGCAAGGCGCTCTGGGAGGCCCGGAAGGGCCAGCAGACCTTCTCAAAAGGCGTCCCTGGAGCCGCCGAGACGTCCGAAAGGGTGTCCGGGGCGTCCGGTAGGGAACCCGGTTTAGGGTGGGGGGGTGGGGGGGGTGGAGGGGGGAGTTCCGGGCAATAAAACAGGAATAGGAATCCGCCAGCCCCCCTTGTGGGGCCACCAGGCTGTAGGCCGAAGGTTCGCAGTTTCCCGTACCAGTTGCAGCTTCCAGTTTCCACTGATACAGTTCTGCTTCTTGCTGCTCAGTGTTCATGGACCGCGCGAGGGGGGGAGGCCCAAAATGGGCATTTCTACTACTCCCTGAACGTATTGTCTGAATTGCTGGGGTGGGTAAAAATTTACACCCCTCACGCAGATCGGGGGGGTCAGGGTCCAAAATCACATAGGATTTGCCACATTTCTGAAATTCGGTGGCACCCCTTACACAGATCGGCGGGGTCAGGGTGCAAAAACACATAGGATTTGCCACATTCCGTAAATTTGCTGGCACCCCTCACGCAGATCGGCGGGGTCAGGGTCCAAAAACAAAAAGGATTTGCTACATTTCTGACATTCGGTGGCACCCCTCACGCAGATCGGCGGGGTCAGGGTGCAAAAACATGTAATCTTTGCCACATTTCCGAAATTCAGCGGCACCGCTCAAGCAGATCGGCGGGGTCAGGGTCCAAAAACACAAAGGATTTGGCGCATTTCTGAAATTCGGCGGCACCCCTCACGCAGATCGGCAGGGTCAGGATGCAAAAACACAGGGGACTTGCCACTTTCAGAAATTCAGAAAACCAGTCACGCAGATCCGTAGGGTCAGGGTCCAAAAACAGATGGGATTTGCTACATTTCTGAAATTCGGTGGCACCCCTCACGCAGATCCGTAGGGTCAGGGTCCAAAAACATAGGGAATTTGCTACATTTTTAAAATTTGGCGGCACCCCTCACGCAGATCCGTAGGGGCAGGATCGAAAAACACACAGGTCCCGACACTGCTTCACGGAGGCGCCCAGACCTCATGATTTAGCTTTTGCGTCTCCCATGATCCGAGACAGGGTGCCGGCGGCATGGGGCGAAGCCCTTACGGATATATATATATATATATATATATATATATATATATAATAAATATAAAAATATATATGATACATACATACATACATACATACATACATACATACATACATACATACATACATACATACATACATACATACATACATACATACATACATACATACATACATACATACATACATACATACATACATACATACATACATACATACATACACACACACACACACACATACATACATACATACATACATACATACATACATACATACATACATACATACATACACAGACAGACAGACAGACAGACAGACAGACAGACAGACAGACAGACATACATATATACACTCATACCTATATATATATATATATGTATATACATACCTATCTATATATATATATGTATATGTGTAGGCTGCATTGGCCCTTCGCGCCATGCACCTTGGTCCTTGAAGTTTGGTACGCAGGCGGTATGGCAGGAAAACCAAGCCGACAATTTAGCCATAACTCCATGTTACCTTTTCCGGCATCGCCGTTATAAATAATGTTGCTCGTCATCCTTCCTCCACGTGTATTGTTCTTCATTCTCGCCCTACCCTGCGTATTATCTCCATCCTTCTCAGCTCTTTCTGCGGAGGCTCATCCTTGGAGGGCCTTTGGGGGCCTCACAAAAGTTCTTCAGGCTTTCCAAAGCCTTCTGAAGGCCTCCTGGGAGTCTTCAGGGGGCCTCTGGAGGCTTCCTCGGGCCACCCTGCCTCCAACTGCGGTCTCCCTGAACGACCAAGCCACGATTTGAAATGCTTCGGAGGGTGTCTTGGGGCCATCTTGGGCCGCGATGGGCTCTCTTAGGCCATCTTGGAACCCTGTTGTGCCGTCTTGGGGCTCTCTTGGACTGTCTGGAAGCCCTTTCGGATGGTTGTGGGGCGATTTTCGAGCCTCCCAGACGGCTTCGGACGCCCAGAAGACCGCCGTCTTGAAGCTTCGGAAAGCCCAAACGAGGAGAACCCCCAAATTCTCCAAAAACCAACTGAAAATC